AATAGTGAGTCCCACACTACGACCATAATGATAATAGAGAGTCCTACACTACGACTACAATGATAATAGTGAGTCCTAAACTATGACCATAATGATAATAGTGAGTCCCACACTACGACCATAATGATAATAGTGAGTCCCACACTACGACCATAATGATAATAGTGAGTTCTACACTGCGGTGACAATGATAAAAGTGAGCCATACACTACGACGATGACGCTACTAGAGAATATCGAACTTCAAATATGATATAATCTCAATATGTAATATTGAAGCACAATTTCCGTGAACAGAAGATTATTTTCGTCGGGTGGCATTATGTGGAACATTAAAAATGCCAATAATTTCGGTATATATGTTCGTCACCCAAAAGTAATGCAAAACAATAAAAATAAAAAGATGTCGCTTCCTGACTACTGATGAATCATTTATGGGTTTAAATAGGAGTTTACATGCGTAATAAATATGGAAGATTATTTGTTCCATATGGTGGCTCCTTATAAGATATAATAAGAATATGAATAAGATCACTGCAGTAACTGATTTAAACACGAGTCAATGTGTTTGCTATTTTTGTTCAAAATTCCCAAATCTCAAAATTAATGAGATATGAAAGCTTTGTCCCTATGTTTCATTACAAATTCAATATTTCAGTGATGGCGTGGCTGCAGTAATTCAATGGCAACCGACGTTAATAATAAATACACCTGCATGCCACAGTCTCCCATATATCAGTGCGTTTAAGCCGCGGTCTCCCATATATCTGTGCGTGTAAGCCGCGGTCTTCTATATATCAGTGCGTGTAAGCCGCGGTCTCCCATTTATCAGTGCGCGTAAGCCGCGGTCTCCCATATATCAGTGTGTGTAAGCCGCGGTCTCCCATATATCAGTGCGTGTAAGCCGCGGTCTCCCATATATCAGTGCGTGTAAGCCGCGGTCTCCCATATATCAGTGTGTGTAAGCCGCGGTCTCCCATATATCAGTGCGTGTAAGCCGCGGTCTCCCATATATCAGTGCGTGTAAGCCGCGGTCTCCCATTTATCAGTGCGCGTAAGCCGCGGTCTCCCATATATCATCGCGTGTAAGCTGCGGTCTCCCATATATCAGTGCGTGTAAGCCGCGGTCTCCCATATAGCAGTGCGTGCAAGCCACG